TCATATTTCCCTATATATACAACAAGGAGCACTGATGATGATTCATTCGGAATCGAAATATGGCCTTATTTGCAGCATGAATTCGAAAAATAAGTTTATTTTGAATTTTAATAAACTAAACGTTCAACAAAAAACTTTAGTGAGAAAAATCGAAAAAACGAACTACAAACATATTAACGCCAAACATTCGGTAGAATTTATAGAATATTGTAAAAATATATAAATATATATATATATATATATATATATATATATATATATATATATCGGCATAACATTGTTTGAAATTGCCTATTTATGTCATATTTATTATTTGAACTGCATTTTAACCAGATAATATTGAAAAGAAAACCGGATGGTGTTCTTTTCAATATTCGATCAATTAATATGTTGTAAAAGTTTATAAAAAGTTTCTTAATAAATTCTATTAAAAATATTCCCAGTTTGAATTTTTCATAGTGAATGTAGAATTAGAGATGACGCTACGTAAGGTGGTGGTAAATAAAAAAAAACTGTCAGATGGTCCCAAAGTATTCTTCGTTTCATTTCACGATTAGTAACAATAGAAAAATGAATTTAAAAATGTTTCATGTATTGTTTGCATTGTATTGTTTTTTCAACAAAAACAATTCACTAGTTTACCTCTCAAAACATCGTTACACATGTCATGACACCATTAAAAACTATCTTTCTAAATAGTTCATCATAGATTTGCTAAAAAGTGAAAGTAAAAATGTTTTAAATAATGGTTTTGGTCACTCACTAAGTACGTAATAATGAGGCTTTTACAAACGCACACGCCCACGTGTAAGTGACAAATTTCAAGTTTTATTTGTGTATGTAAATCATAAATTAATGAATCGTTGCACAGAATTGTAATGAAGCTCGTAATAAATTAAGAAAACTTGATTTCACTCAACGAACCCTCCAAACATCATGGATATATTATCATTTAAGGCTCCTAATGGTCGGTATGCCAAGTACCAGTCAGGCTGCATCCACAGAACTGTTGGGGAGGTATCAACGTCGCTATTATTATTGTTATTTATCATTAAATTATATTATTATTATTGTTGTTGTTGTTATTATCATTATCGTTATTTGGTAGTCGCAGTTGACACAGATATGTTGAGATGTGTTGCAGCAGAGTGAGGAAGGCGTACAAAGATGTGCGTGCTGATAAATAGGGGAATTCTTAATTTTACTCCATTCAGCTCATGACTATTGAGTGTGTTAATCTGGGTCTGCTGATTACTCTAATAAATTGGCCTATTATTTGATACACCAATATATTATTTCATCACCAGACTGAACGTTACACTTTTTTATTGAGCTGGAGAAAGAAAATAACAAAATGTAAAGTTCATATAGGGATTGGCCTGAGGATACATAGAAATGATGAATATTTATTCAATCATTGAAACGTGATGGAAGGGTTTAATGTTATGACGAGAGCATTGTCAAACTGTATATTTAATTCATATGAACCAAAGTAACTATGAACCATTTAACATAAACACAATCCCGTCATAAGCATTCAATTCAAATTGTTTAATATAGTCACAAATTTGTTGTGATTTAAAATAATAGAATGATGTTGATGAACATAAATGTGTGGGTGCACGTGTGCATATGCGTGTGTGTGTGTGTGGTGTACAAACCCTTTCATACCTGTCTCACCCTCGTGAAGAAGGGCGTGAAGATCATTACAAGTCTGGTTGCAGCGAGAAGGTTGGAGAACAATTTCACTGGTACCCTTCAGCTGAACATACCATGTCACTGTCGTTCCTATGTCAGTCTGTTTGGTGTAGTGATTGAATATTTGCAGTTTAAATGCATGTTCCGATGAATTAATTAAAAATTAATGTGGAAGGTTGCCTATTTAAAAAGATAGATAAATAAATACTTTGATGTAATGATCTGCTTCATAGTTATGTGACACCATAATCCAATTAACAAAAGCTATTTCAACAGATTGGTGAACAAAGTATGGCCTTTTGTAGTACTTTCGTAAACTTCTCACAACATTTTTGTTACAGTTTTCCCTTTTGGAATATTGGTTAATTTTTAATAAAAAATTTATAATGATATCTTGTGTATGTGTGTGTGTGTGTGTGGGTGTGAGTCAGTACAAGACTTACCAGAAGGCATACCAGCTATCCTCACTATGTTCTGCTGATTGTGACAGCAGTGAAACCAGATCACTAATGGTAACCAGTTTTTCAGTGCTCTCTACTTTGTTTGTATGCATGTAACAAGGTTCAGATGATTTCATTTCACGTTCTTCAAATATCTAACAAAAATTATGTATCAAAATTCATTTTTAAATAAATTAAATAATTAACCATATCAATATAATCAGTCTCCACTTACTTCAAACAAAAAAGACATGTTAAATTTTTTTGCCGACCAATCATCATGGACAGCATCCTTAACAATGATTGGTATGCTCTTTTGGATGTGGCTCTTCAATATGTCTCTAGCTGAGACATTCTCAGCGCTTAATATGCTCTTTAAATGTGCACAGCCCTGCAAAATATATTCATAAATAAATATCTGGAGAGATTTAAGATTGAATTGGGCAGAAGAGACTCACATTGCAGGTACTGTTGTCATCATTTGGATTTATATAAAAAGGATTCTCCAAAATACAACTTTGGTTATAAAATAGGGTCCAATCATAAAAATTCAGAAGCTTTTTTAAATAAACAAATTTAATAAATCAAAAATAAATATAATTTATCAAAAAGAAAATTATTATCATGTATTCTAAACATAAACAAGGTAAAAAACTAAATTAGTGAAATTTATATTTTAATGAATATTCATCATTATTAACAAAAACATTTTAATTACTAAATATTAAAAATTTAAATTAAGTTCAATCTATGATTAGATCTAGGTTTATTTAATTTGAATAAAATAAACGAAAAACTAGTTCAACTTATATTATTTAAATGACTATAAATAAATAATTTAATTATCAGCTATAACTTTAATTTATTAATTAATTAATGTATTGTATTTTGTATTGCAAAAGTCAATTTTACCTTTAGCAATCCAAATCGAATAGATAGAAATAACAGTTTGTTAGCAAAGTCCCAAGTCACACATATGCCAACAAGAGCAATGAGCAAAGTGAGGCATTTGTTCTTCTGCAGGAAACTTCTCTGATTTTTCTTTTTGAATTCTTCATGGACTTGTTGAGCAAGAAGAGCAATCTTCTCTTTTGTTATGTTGTTATCCAGAGCATGTTCAACCAATTTTGTTAGATTGTTGAGGATGATTTGTTTTTCAGACGACTTAGCCATTATTTTTATTAATTATGATTCACTTAAAAATAAACACTTGAAAAAATTTGAAGAACTTTCCTGTTTACATTGGACACTGATCAGCTCAACTAAGTTTAATAAACTTTAAACTAAAATTTCAGTTAAACAAAAAGGTTTTTTAATGGTATTTTGAAATGACGACAATTTTTAATTTAAAATGAATAACTGATGAGTTTAGACACAATTTATTGAAATTATTCAAATTTATCACTGTAAAATCTGAGTGTAGACTGCAGAGTGTAGAACAATAATATCCTACCTGAAACCTCATTGATCTCTACTGAAATCTTTCTTTAATTATCAAAATCACCGCCATTTGATTCTTTGTTAGTAAAATTCAGCTCCTTTTTTTGTGATTAATTTAAATAAAATTCTTGATTTTAGATTACCAAGATGTATGGTACAAGATCTGAAGATCTGCCAATGTTAAATCTAAATGAGTCAGTGTGGGTTTCGTGGTCGCTATCAAAAACATTTTCCTATTGAAATTATTGTAAAATTTAATGATTATTATTTATTTAGGCCTAAGGGACCTTAGGGTATCATAAAATAAAAATTACTATGCACCAAAGAACAGATAACTGATTGTAAAATGCAAAGAACTTTTCCTATATTAACTGTGTTGGTTGACTATGCATGGTTATTTTTCTTATTTTTCGGAAATAATTGCACAAAAGTCAGTTTAGCGGTTGCGAAGTTATCGTTCGACGATCTCGTCTTCGTCACCGTGCAAGTTACAGTTTGTACAAGTAAGCGATTTCTTTTTTAATTAATGATTGTTTTGATAGTAAATGTTTTTATTATTTTTTTATATCTATTAAGTATTATGTATTATTATATTATTAGATTTCTGTTATTTCGTTGAGCTAGTAATAAATACTAACTTAGTTCTAAAAGTTAGTAAGATAGTTGGTTAGTCCTTCGCATCATCTATTTTCAATTTTGACTTTGCTTAGCATTTGGTTAGGGATTCATGAACAATTTTTGTTTGTTAGACTTGACAATTTATTTTTAAGTTTAAAATCTTTAACCATTCAATTCATCAATGAATCAATCAAATTAGCTGATCTGACGATGGCATTTATATTTATTGAATAATTATTATATTATATGTTTTTCATTATGTTGTATATTTTTATATTATAAAAAATATTTTTTTATATAATCCGAATACCAGGTATTTTTCTATAAGAAAATGGATCATGGTTTGATTCCAGTTTGTGGATCTGTCACTAATTGTAATTTCGATGAGGAAATTATGAAGAATAATTTGGAAATCGACCAAGGAAAACTGAATTGTGATAACATCAAAACTTTAGTTGACATTAATGATTCAATAACTTTCAACAGTGCACATCCTACAAAAATGTCAAAAATAAATCATCACGATGAACATTCATCTTCTAGTTTGCTAACAGAAAAGAAATTTATAAATCCAATTACCGATATTTTTCATAATAATAGCAATGATAGTTGTAATAATTGCAAAGATAACACTAATAACAATGGTTTGAAGAATGACAATAATGATGCTGCACTTGAAAAAAGTATTTTTATTGACGATAATGATAAGTCTTGTTCAAAATGTACAACTCATCATATGAAACCAGATTTGATGATGCCATCTTCATGTGATAATTCTTTGGAGGTTTCAGTTTTGAAGAAGGAGAAGAATATTTCAGATAACAGACCTGGAAAAAATCATTGTGCTGATGACACAACATCAGTGGTTTGTTCATCTGATGTGGTCAACCCACCGACTGATACTAACTGTTCTAATATTGCTGGAACATCAAATGATGACTTCACTAATGGCGAAAAATCTGAAGCAACTTCCTCACGTGTAGTTTCAATTCCAGGTATTGTAATATCTAAGCCTCAATGGAATGTAGGCGATATGTTATGGGGAAGAGTGAGTGGTCACCCATGGTGGCCCTGCATGATTGCCATGGACCCTTCCAATACTATCTTCAGGAAACTTTCCATTAGTTCGTTTCTTGGATTTTTATAAAATAAATTTTAAATTTCTATTTTATTTCTTCAAAGCTCTATTTTATAATTCTTCAATTTTTGTACTTGATACTTAGCACTAAATTTTAGTACCATTTAAAATTTTTATTTACTATTAGTTTATTTACTATTAGTATTGTTACTTTAAATGAGATTTGTTTGTGTTATTACTCAGCAAATATTATTAATTATATAATTTCATACATTCTTACTCATCAATAAACAACTACATCTTGTTGCCTCAACAGGACGAAACAAGTCATCTGCTCAATATCACGTCCAGTTTTTTGGAGACGAGTGTGAACGTGGATGGTTGAATGAATCATCCATGATGCCTTACAAGGGAAGAGAAGAATTTGAGTCAATCCAACAGGGTATGCTCAACATGTCAGCAGGTTTGTTAGTTGCTTGGTTGGCTGGCTGTTCAATTGTTTGGTGGTTGACTGATTTTTGGCTGGCTGCACTACAGCATTTTTCTTATAAATTTTTCTTGAACCACCATTATTTAAAAAATATATAAAAATTATTTATTGCATGCAGGTAACAGTACCCAGTTGAAGAAAGATCGAAAAAGTTTCATCATTAAATTCAGAAGGCAGAATTCATGGAACCATGCCATAGCTTATGCAGAGGCTGCATTCAAAATGAATTTGGAAGAGCGTATAAGCAAGTGTACTTATGTGTACAACAGCTCTCAAATGAACCAGGCCCGCGAAAAACTGAAACAGCGGAAAAGAAAAATGCAGACTAGCAGCAGTGAGAATGATGCGGCGACTACCGCTGCAGACCACAGGGAGCAGCAGAGTTTAGGTTGTGAGAGCAGTGGCATTGGCACATCTGATAAAAAATCATATATACCACCATCTAAAAAACAAAAATTGTCATCAGCTAATGTAAGATATGAGGATGAAGAGGATGGAAATGATTTTGAAGATGACGAGGATGGTGAAATTGCTGTTTCTCTGACTAGAAGTAATACATTAGATTTATTTTTTTGTGTTTAGTGCAGTTATGACATCTGTTTACATTTTGGCTGAGGTTTCGTCATGTCATTTGTGAACGCCATTCAGTCAAACAGACTATAAGAATATCAGTTTTAAATTGTTTTTAATGCTTAGTTTTTGAAAATACTTCAATTCCCATTAACTCTTATTTTTGGCAACCTATAATTAAATTTTCAAGCCACATGCTTACCATATGAGCTGTTCCAATACATCAATCTTCAACATAAACTGCCCATCAACCAATCAATCAGTCAACCAACCAACAATCAATTAAACAATCAATCAGACACTCCAAGATCAGGCAGATCCATCAGACTGACTGACAAGTTTGCCAAGCACATGGAGGAGGTCGTAAGGAAGAAGACATGCAAAAATAAAGTAAACTTGCTTCTTCTTTGTTTAATTAATTTCATTTTCACTATTCGTTAGAGACACACCAATATTCAGTTTAGCTGATTACTTGGCTGAAATTTAGTGTTCAGTCATTTTTAAAAAATAGCCGAATATTGCAATTTGTTTTAGCCATCATTTTTCATTGCACAGTGCTGGTGCGTTCTTTGGTTTTGTATTTTATTTCCAGGTTAACTTGGTTCAGATTTTTTTCAAAAATGAACTTTGCCGAACTGTGTTATTGAAGGAAATTTTTGGTGCTTGTGCCTACAAAAAAACCAGCAAAATAAAATCAACATATAGATTGCATCTGCATGGTAGGAAAGATAGCACATGTTGGATTATTGGTTACTTGATTGTAGCAGTGTAGGTTGTCGCCTGGAGACAGTTACTGTTGACGTAGTTTACATAATTCAAAAATTGGGTTATAAATCCATAATATGGATATATATGAGGTACTAATTGCATATGCTGTACGTGTATATTTATATATATATATTATAAATTATTATAATATATCTTTTCAAACAATTATCTTTGAAGATACTTTAAAATTTTAAAATTTTTATAGAAGGATAATGTGGTACCGAGCAGCAAATGTAAGAACAAGTCGACTCCAGACCATCTCAAAAGTAAACAAATGAAACTACCTGAAGATGACGCAATGAAGTCAACAGCTGAACCAGCACAACAACAACGTCTCCCAGCAGCCGTGCAGGACCTCATTGTCAAAGTACCATGCTTCACTTACCTTAATATCTTATAACTTTTGAGTTTCAAAGTTTCTTTTTACATATTGATCATTGACTATTTATTTATTATTGAATATTATTTAATTTTTATGGTCTTATGTGTTACTGATTTGCTATAATGTTTTTGTTTTATTTTAGTTTTTTCTGAATAAATAAGTTTTAATTTGTCATCTGAAAAATAAAGTTGTAATTTAATGTTTTATAAATAAAACTTAAATTCCGTTACTTTATTTTTCGGTTTCAATAAGGTTTCAATTTTTCTGTTTTTCATTTCAGGAGGAGCCCATAGATAAATCCAACCTTGAAAAATCTGACAACCAGTCAAAAACCGACAACGTCAATAAAAAAGCCATCAACAAGATAATTGTAGTGAGCAAAATAAAATCTCCAGAAATGAAAACAGTTGACAAATCAGCATTGAAATCAACTGCTACAATGACTACAACAGCAACAACCACAACCACATCTACAACTTTGCTTGCTTCGATCTTAAAATCAGTTGAATCAAGTGCTCCGAACAGCACAACCAACAATGCTAGCAACAGCAGCAAAGATGCTGGCAACATCATTAAGATCAACAGTCTGCTGGACCTCATGAAGAAGAACAATAAGCCTGCAAATGTCGCTACAACAACTGTCCACCAGTCTTTACCTACCAAGATCTGCCCAAGCACTTCACAACCGTCAAACAAAATGACGTCGCCATTGACCAAATCTGACAACCAAATTATGTTATTGAGACCCACCAATGAAACATCAACAAAAGATATCAATTTGAAGACTGCACAATTTACCAAAATTAACAACAAAACATCATCATCAACAACAGAAACAACAACTATAAGTAAAAAT